AGAAAACATGGAAAGGACACTTCGAAAAGGATGCGGGCGAAGCAGACGAGACTTGCGTATTCAAAGGACCCCGTTGAAAGGTTAGGTGGCTCTTCATGTCAGGTGTGTTTCCCGAAAAAATGACCTCTGGCTTCAACCAACCTAGTCTCAGGAGTCTTGTGTCTTCTGGGTGCGTGTGTGGCGCGCCGTTTTTGCTGGTGTCCGGCCAATCCCAACAGGAACCCGGGCCGAACCCAATGGCGCAGTCAGGTGCTGTCGCGGCAGCCGCAGCCGGTACCGGGCGACCTGGACATCCTGGTGGCCGGCTTTAGCTGCAAGGCGTTTCGGGGGGCGCCGAAAAACGCGCGAAAAACCCAACGCAACCCCGTTTTGCCTCGTTTGAGAAGGCTTTGTTCCAATTGAACCCAGAGAGAGGCTTCCCTTTGTAGGTGGTGTTGGAGTTCTCGAAAGTACTGGGGCAACCGCCCTGAGCTTCCCCTCCCCAATTCACAGATTAGTTTCAAGGGTTTTGTTTAAGCTACAGAAGAGCAACCCGGTTTGCCGGTTTCGTACTGGCCTGCGTTTGGAGCTCATGAGGGCTGCAACGACCATGGTGATGATTGCGCTGGTCACGGTTACGGTGATGTCGATGGTGGTGCGGGTGTGGCTGTTGACGATGATGAGAAGGATAGAACATATTTGAAGTTTAAGGCCATGTCAAAGATGCAAACCCCGATGAACCAGTCTTGACCTAGGCCTAGATTTTGATGAGCGAATGCTGACCAAATGAACATGTCAACATGTGCTACGAGGACCTGTCCTTCATGAACTCCTACAGGAAGACGCAGGTGCCCCAGAATCGGCCGCTGAACAAGAGAAGCCAAACTGCACACCTTCTGTGTTTGACTGAAAATCATACACTACCCTGCGCCTTGGCATGCGACAGTGACAGGGGGTGGGCCCAGAGGCAGGAGGATTCCTTTACCCATGATGGTTGATTGGCCTCAACCCAGACGTTTTTTGGGGCTTGCAATGGAAGACCCATACCCTCCATTGGACACCAGAAATGTTGTGGTCTCAAAACCTGCATGATTGAATGGACAGCATTTGCCTGGGTTCTAGCCCTGGTAAGTCACGTGGAAACCTATACCAACCTTGCTTTGACAAGGCCTCACCCTTTGCTAGGGCAACTCACCTGTCCAAAGCCGAGCTTTTGACCTTCTGGTTTTCAATTCTTAGTCAATATTTAGTGTTGGGCCAAAAAGGTTAACCTTTTTGTTCTTGATTTTTTGGGCAACTGAGGCAACATAGTCCCGAATGTTCAAAAAACTGGCATTTGACAAGTCGGACAAGTCGTCCCAATTTTTCCTTCGCTGGTGTGCTTCTGTGCGTAAGGCAATTTGGGCGCCCCGCGGCCCCACCCCCGGTACAACTTGCCCTCTCTAAAAGCGGCGATCGCTTGCATGGACACCGCTCGGAAATTACAACCTAAGGGGAACTACAGTGCCCGCTGTAAAACCCTTTCAAGGACGGCATGGCCTCTGTGTACTTTGTGCTTAGTTCGACACCCGAAGGCCAAAGGCTCTTGACCAATGAACCGAAGCTGATCGCCGCGTTGGAAACTTGGACGTAACAAGTTGGTTATAAGTTATCCCAGTGATTCCATTCACCTGTATCAGCAACCAAGGGAACCCTGTCAAAACCAAAGGAAGATTGGTTGGTCACCTACTATGGGGCAACTGAGATCCACCGGGTATAACCTATCCGGTGTCTTCCCCGACATGTTGCCGTTAAGCGAGTGCGGTCACGATTTCGTGTTTATCCGAAGTTGACAGTATAATTGCGGGTTTGGGTGTATACCAAAAAGGGCGCGCCTTTTTGAGAACCTCCATAACTAGGTCACCGAGTAGTGCCCTTTTACCCGTTTTTGGGGGAGGGCTCCCCCACTAAAACAGACTACAGAGAAAAACATCGGGTACCAATGTATTCTAACCTCTCCACTGAAAATCCTAGATATGGAACCCTGCGATATCCTGCGATGCTTTGCAGGAAACGTACGACTGATAAGGCGCCGGCGGTACCGCTTGGAACGTTTCGGCGCGCGTCGGAGGCTCCAAGAGATGGGTCAGTCGGGCTCCACTCTGCGCGGGGTGTTGGATTACGCCGCTCGGCCTCGCTGGAGGGGCAGGTCATGGGCTCCTTAAAAGAAATTCATTTTGCCACCATTGGAAACATGTTGTGTTTTCCACCGAAAGAAAGTTGGACACCACCATTTACAAGTTGCCATGTTCAGGTGTATAACGTAAGGATCCCTGTCGCAGGTCTCGAAATTCGAATGGGGTTGTGGGATGCTTTCAAACCAAGTTGAGTCATGATCAGAACAGGATGTTTGTGTACTCGTGTTCCGTGTTCGTATGTAAAATATGTCAAAACTTTGGCGCCCGCCGACATTTTAACATCACGGTTCTTCTTTTGGCTTCCCTTAAAGCCAAACGCCCAACCCACGGGAAGTCAGCGTGTCATACTTGACATTGCCGGACTTGGCTGTGCTTTGCTGGGCAAGTTGAGCAGGAGAGATGGACACCCCAACCAAGTTCAGGGGTGGGAAATTGGTTATAGGATTGTACAGGGACCCAACACATACACATATATTTTTCTGGGTTATTCGTGCTTGTCCATTTGGGTTGTCTAAGTGGGACGTCAGCCGTTTGGTTTCCTTTTCAAAAAGAGAGAGAGGCTCCGTGTGTCGCAATGAGGGCCACCTCAGTATGGGTTGGATTTGTACTGGATACCCTTTACAACCCTTTCCAAGAAGATCAACCATTCCAATAAGATGTCTAGTGTTGATGGCTGAGGCGGGTTTGGTAGGCGGGTTTGGTTGGTCAGGCAAGACCGGGGTTTGGCACCATGTATATCACCCCATGTGATGTTGCTGGTTTCCCAATTGGCAAAACTTGTTGCATTCACCCAAACCTCGGATTGAAGCACTCGTTAGGGTCCTTAATAGCTCTTGGAACGGTGGCGGCATCGTCACCTTCCGCGGCCAGCAGTACGAGGCAAGGATCCTCCCGGGCACGATTCTGAAAGTGCCGACCTTCCTACTGGGAGAGCCTTCCTCGACGGACAGATGCACTACGTTGACTGGGATTTCAGGATCAACGGCCATTGGACTTTGACGAGGATTACTTCGTCGATGTGCACCAGTTGTGCGACAAGTTCAACAGGAAGACCCGGAGCAACATCGGGTACAAGACGTTGTTGAAGATCTTCGCTTGTGACCCAAAATGCAGATTCACTGGAGATGTCCTTCAGAATTGTCTTAGTTCTTGGTATGTGTTTCGGATTTCGTTCCTATTTCCGGATTTGTTCATACAGTTGTTGTGGTTCACATACCAGGTGGGTCGACATGTCGAATCTGCAGCACTCCGCACTTCACCTTGGGGTGGGCTCGTCTCAGTGTGAGCTTTGTCATGTTCTTTGACAGGAGTTCCCGTTGACATTAGCTACCAAAAACAGGTGCCTTTTTTCAATGGCAAGACAGGTCTGGGATGTGTGTTTGTTTGTTTGTTTGCTTGCTTGCTTGCTTGCTTGCTTGCTTGCTTGCTTGCTTGCTTGCTTGCTTGCTTGCTTGCTTGTTTCTTTCGTTCTTTCTTTATTTCTTTCTTTCTTTGTTTGTTTGTTTGTTTGTTTGTTTGTTTGTTTGTTTGTTTGTTTGTTTGTGTGTGTGTGTGTGTTTGTGTTTGTGTGCAAAACCGTTTGAGGATAGCTTGCTCTCGGCCTCACCTCTGACATTCGCGCGGAACAGGCAGAGAGGTACCGGCCCCGGCTGATCTTGCTTGAGTGCCCTGGCTCGATCGGTCGCGGTTCGACTGCTTTCGGGGATGACTTGGAGTGCTTCGGGTCCTGGGTCGGTACGACCTAGCCTTGAACCGCTTCGGAAATGACTGTTTCCCTTCCAACTCTCAACAGATTACTTTGAAGAAGCTTTGTGTTTTCGTTTCCTTTGGTGCTTCATTTGAAAGGAGCTTCCCCCATTGGTTCCCTTTTTGCGGGGGGTGCTTGTTCCCTTTGGCCTCTGCTCACTGGCCCCATCCTTTTATGCAATGTCATTGGTTTCCGGGAGAACGACAGGCACGAGATGTACACAAATTGGCAACGGTTTTTTGGTTTCATGTTTATATTTTTGGAGAGCACCTCCAACACAGGCACACCACGAAAGGAGACGCCTGAAGAGCGCCAAGTCTCTCACCAAACGAATCGAACACATCTGACCTTCCGGCTGTCTTTTGGTCTTCAGGGTTCCCAGCCATTCCCTGAGGTTTTAGGTTTTTAGAGTTTAGTGGGAGTCTAAATTTAACCCGCCACAAGATTATATTTTAGTAGGAGATCTGTTTGCCCAGCTTTGAGTCGTCGTGTTCTTGCGCTTTGCAGGCGCAGTCTTTGGAGAAGTCTCGCTGTTTTGGCCGTGTGTTGTTTTGATGTGTGTTCCAAAAACCACAGCCAAACAAGGGATGGTCAAATCTAAATTCGATGTTTTTGGGGTCAAGCAATGACCTTCAACTTGAGGACACGCCTCGAAAGTGTCCTTGAGGCTCCTTGAATCCCGAAGCCGTTTGGAGTACCCTACAAGGATGCCGAGAGGGAACCAGGTGGCTTCACAAGCTTGAACAGATTCCGCAAGATGACAGCTGGATTCTTGCTGGCCTGCTTCAAGGCATCAAGATGGCGGCTCTGTGGCGAGAATGTTGACCAGACCAAGTTGCCCCAAATGTATTTCGCCGAGCTAGAAGAAATGCAACACCAGCAGGTTTGGTTCAGTTTTACCAAAGTCAATTGCTAGCTGTTGGCAATTGTTGGTTGCTTCCCATAGATGTTGACACACAACAGAGACACAGCGGGATCCGGCTCAGGCATACAGGGGTTGGCTAAGGATTCTTGCGAGCAGAGCATTGGCGCTCTCGGAAACACGCAGGGTATTTGAGGCTAGAACGCTGGTTGCTAAAGAGTCCATAGGTTTTTAAACAACAGCAGAAAGTTATGGGGTCTCTGCCCAGATAGGCTCTGGTGGGGTGCCGAAGCAGGGAGTTCCGGCATAGTTGGGCTAGTGTTTCTCGTTGTTTGTGCTGCATGGTCCTTTTTTTGTTCCGCAAGCCCAAAGGCAATGGCTCACATTGTTCTGGCGGAGGTTCCTATTTGAGTCCTTCGAGATTCCTAGCGGACCCTGTTAGGTCTATTCGCTAGAGATATTTGTTGTACAGTGTTTTAATGTTTATTATCAGGCACGATTGGCCAGGTCCTACCCGTTGATTTGTTTTGGCTTCGCAACCACTGTTGGACTTGGAGATAAGCCCAGCCACTTCGCATTTGTCGTCAAGGATCCTTCTCAGAACATGACCCCCAGTTTCGGGGTTGTGTAACTGAGTGTGATTGGTAAGTGGAGGGATCAACCCCTTGTGGCTAGTTCACCAACTTGAACATAAGTTGGATTCCCAGGAAAAGCGTTGAGTCTTCGAATGTCGAATCCGCTCGGGGAGCTTTGGTCCCTCCATAGAGATGAATACATGATATCAACTTTGGTTTGGTTGGTAGGATGGCTATTTTCACAATCCTCTAAACTGGTTTAGCTAGTAGGCGTTCAGCTTGTTCTACAACTCTGCAAGAAGCACCCATCGGTTTGGGGGCTTTGTTGCCTGGTTCTACATCATCTTCGCTTTGTTGCATTCTGCTTGGATGTTTGGACTTTAACTTTTGCCAACTAATGGGTTTTCCATTAAACCACTAAAAAGTTAAACTTTTAGCCGGGGAGCAGAAAGCAACCGAGTTCGTCGCAGGTTGTCAAAAGTATGACCCTTCCTGTCGTGTGCCCAAACGTGACATGCTTCTTCAATCTGACTTTCGGACACAACGAGAGGGGTGTGTTCCGTACCTCCTTTTTGCTAGCCTACTTCTGAGTCAAGTGAAAATCTACTTGCCCTGCTTATACATGGGTTAGACTCACTTACAAGCAGTCTAACCCATGTATATGCAGGGCAAGTAGATATTCACTTGACTCATACGTCATGTTACAACTTGACCTTCGTGGCTGGATGCATCGAGTGCAGCCCGGAGTCCAAGGAATGTCTGGGCCATTGCCAAGAGCAACAGCTGCGGCTTTCGGCAGGCGCTGAGCACTTTGTGATTCGTTTTTTCAGCTGGTTTTGGTAGGGAACCAAGGGCTTGCCATTTTTGAAGAACCACCACTAGGTCCCCCAGGATCGTGCCCTTTTACCGTTTCTTTTTTTCGGGGGAGATTCGGTTCCCCTGCTAAAATAGACTACATAAAAAAGTTGTTTAGGCTTCCTTGTTGGCAAGCAAATGGGTGAGCAGGGATCCGTTCATGTTAACAGGAACCACCTCGCGAAACAAGAGCTCCACAAGAAGCGGCCAGACCAAGGGCTTGCCACCTTTGAAGAACGAAAAGGAGCATTGCTGGTTACAAGCTATATAGGGGTAACTTGGATGAACTGGGTGAATGTCGAGTCAAGGTAAGCAACCCATGTGTCCGTTTATTACAGTCTGGAAAAAGGCTTGCTCCAGGCTTCCATTGGATAAGCACGGAGTGGGCATTTAGTAAACAATTGTTGTTGGTGTCCCTTTGCTAGGCGTGAATGTTCGACCATTGTGCTAGGGTTCTTGGATCAAAGCTACGGCTCACTTAAAATTTGTCAAATATCAATGACTTCCTCTTCCTGGTGGAGGATTAAAGTCGCTCTGTAAGCCACCTGTTTAAGGGTTTGTATAAAACTGGCTTTCAGCCACTTGTTGATTACCCTACCGGGATACTTGCAACCTCGCCCATGATGAGCTTGCTTTGTTCGAAGAACCCTTGTGTGTTGCGTAGGGGGCATAAACCACTGATGAAAGCCATTTGTGCCAGGATTGGCGGGGGTTTGCTTCCAGCCACTTATGCAAGGATTTGGCATGGGTGTTACTATAAACCACTCTGGCAAAGTAAGAGCGACTTCGTTGCTGATGAGGTATCCTTGTAACGGAGACTCTTATTCAGGTTTTGACGCCACCTATGTAATTTGTGAACCACTTCTTATCCGCAGACACCCAGTGAGGTGGAAACTTGCTCGCTTTTGGTTGCCAGTCTCTTCGATTTGCGAGGATGGAAAGGCCACTCTGGTGTCACATAAATTGCGAAATGTATTTGCCACACCCATGGCACGGATTGCTGGAAAACTCCAGGGTTGGTTCAAACACAAGCTGTGTTTGTGCTCTCGGCCAAATATGAGTTAATTCCAGAATATGCTGCGCCTTGTCGGGTCAGTTCTGCTGGATTTAATTTTTGCAACGATTCCTTAATTTGGATATACGAGCGAACGTATATTGGCATACCCAACGCAATTTGACAGGATACAAGGTTGCCCTCATCACTGGTTGGCCTTCATCACTGGTTGGTGGACACATATATATATATACATATAATATATATATATATATAATTCCTCATATCAATTATGTCCGCCAAGGGTTCCTTTATATATATATATATATATGGATCCAAATTGCTGAAACGTGGGGCCGTTTTTGCCAAATGCGCGGAGCTGGCTCACTTTGCCTTAAGATGCTCACTCGTAAATGAGAAGTTTTCTGCCGGAAAAAAAATCGACTGAATGGTTAATCCCTACCTCCGAACCTGAAATGGGAGGATCATAATGGACTAGGACCTCGAGTAGTCTTTCTTACCCGTTTCTTTTTTGGTTGGGAGGGTTCCCCTACTAAAATAGACCACAGAAAAAAGGGTACCAACTTATTCTAACCTTTCTACTGGAGGACCTAGTGGAGATTCATACAAACACGATGGTGTTTCGGTTGCCATCTTAAACCGCGAAAGAGTTAGGCTGCAAAGAGGGGGTCCTTTCCCCCGCCCCCAGGGCGATTCATCGAAGCACGATGTTGCATATCGAAGTGTAGGAGAATAGTCCCTTCCCGCCTTTGCAACTAAGACAATACCACTTCGCAGTGGAAAAACAAGCAGTTCCTGCGGCCTCTCATTGAAAGTTTCCACGGAACAAACGCGTGTCTGGTTATCACGGGGTGGTGTCCTTTCCTGAATAGGAACGTTTAGGACCAGGCCTGCGCAAACAAACAAGTGGTTCAATGATAGTTGTAAGTAAATGGGTTGCGGAATTCAAGCATTGATTCCACACAACATCAGCTTGTCGTTTGTTGCATCTTCTTGAATATGAGGGTTGCCCGGAATTGAACTTGACTGCGGTCTGGGAGTTAGTCCGTTTGGTGGGGGAGCATCAATACAAGCGATTTTGAACTGGACATGTGTTGTTAGGGGTGAGCGATTGGCGTTGTTGGTGTTGCCACTCGAAATGTAAGAGGCTCAAATATACACTAGGTCTCCCAGTAGTGCCCTTTCATACCCGTTTCTTTTTTTGGTTGGGAGGGTTCCCCTACTAAATAGACGTCCTGAAAAAAGGGTACCCTTATTCTAACCTCTCTACTGGAGGACCTAGTACATGATGACCATATCATCAGCACCTAGTATGGATTGAAAGCTCTCCTCAACCCCATTCTGAGTATTTAGGCTCTTATAGTCGCCCCTCCAAACGTGGCCACGTACAGTCTCCTCGGGTGATTGAGTGGACGGTTGGATAGCGGCCCTTAATGGTCCTTCATAGCCGCTAATAGCCACGAGTTTCGGCTGCAATGGCTGAATCCGTATTGTTTGATGCTTCCTTTGCCATCCTTCCAGGTGGATCTTGTGATGGAGGGCCTCAAGGTGGGGTGAGAGTTCCCATAGGCCAGAGGTCATGTTGAACTTTTGTTGAGCGAAGGCGCACATCCCCTTATTCATTTTGGTTAATTTTGGTTCATATTGGTTCATTTTGGCTCATTTTGGTTCATATTGGTTCATATTGGTTCATATTGGTTCCTTTGTTGTGCAATGGGGTATATACCCATTTTGCAGAGACGGGTAGGAATACAGCAGCACGCCGTCTCTTCGGGTCATTTGGGTATGTGCTGCGCCCCAAAACTTGGCAGAGATGGGCAAACTAGGTTTGTTGTTTTACGATGCTGGTGGTTGACCCTGGAGTTTTGGCATGCCCCAAATTTCTAGCATCCGTTCAAGCTGGAAAATTACAGGGTAGAGGTTGCGTCCTTGCCCCCCTGATGAAGGTTCCTTAGAGGGTTCACTTGCTTGTGGGTGTGGCGACTGTTATGAGTGTTATGAGAAATTGCAGGTGTGCAAATGTGAGAGGCGCATTTCGCTCCTGGTGGGGCATCCATGGGGCAAATTGAAGCGGTCGTTGTACACAAAACAGACCGATATATATATATACCTAGACTTTCCATTGATACCTTTTTGTTGCTTGCCTTTTTTTCTGCGCGAGTCCACAATTTGTGCTCGAGCAATGAACAAGTGCCCGAGGTTTACATTTTCAAATGAGCACTTGTCAAATGTGCGCTGGCGGGTTTTGGCGCTCGTTTTGCGGGCCGTTGCGGGCGTTTTTGCACAATTTCTGCTCGAGTATTAGGACCTGACAGCCCGCAGGACTCCAAAAACTGCTCGAGGTCCAAAACAGAGGACAAGCCAAGAAAAAGGTACGATTTCCAAAAACCAGCCGATTGACAGGGGAGATCATGCTGCTTGGTGGCTCCCAGCCATCCTCTTAGCCTTTTAGCTTTTTAGTGTTTAGTGGTAGTTTTCATTCAACCCACTAAAAGTTAAACTTTTAGCGGGGGATCTGAGGGCAGCCCAGGCTGCGTGAAGGTAGCTTTACTCCCTTACTCCCTTTTGTGCACTGAAGTACACCTTGGGATGCGAGTCACCATCCTTTCTTTCATCCATCCCATAAGCTTTTTGGTAGGAATGCGTCATGGTACCACATGCTTTTTGGGGTTGCCACTTTCCGTGGCAAAAGGAATTCCCTTACATTCCTTTCTTGGCAGAGTCCCTTTCCTTTCGTGCGTGAGTGATGTTTTTGTGCTTCACCAGAACATCTTGGGTTATAACCCCCGTGGGTACCGCTTGGATTATAACTACTTTTAGGGGTCCCTTGGATTTTCGATTCAGTCTTCAAGCGCCGGTCTTGGCCCAGGGTTGTTCTCTTTGAGATTTCCTTATTGGCAACATGCCTGGCCCAGATGCAGGGGATTCTATGATCGTTTGCAGATCTTTAATGCACACCCCAAGTAATTAAAAATGCAACCAACAGCACTTAAGTATGTCGGGTTTTCTCGAAGGGCACCCTCAATTGGTCGGTTTCCTTTGGCTTTACAAAGCCCCAGTTGCTCAGTGACACCCTTTTTCCCTTTTGTTTCATGGCTTCCCCAATCAAGATCATCAACCCGAAAAGGGTTCCCTTATTCCACCAGGTGCACTGAACAACTGGGAAGCTGCTTGCTGGTGCTCAGTAAAGAATGACCTGCCGTGTCTCGGGAATGAACCTGGGAGTTTCCTTAAAGGACCCTGTGAGGGATGGCTTATAGGGGCCATTCGAACTCATTCCCTGAAAACCAGCACGACTATGCACAAGACGAGGGCCTATTTTAAGAGCGAACCACTTTCTTTTGGAATCCTGGGGCTGTTGCCGTGCTTCAGGTGTTTGCGTATGTGTCCTTTGGCTTCCATGTTTTTTTGTTTCTTCCGTTATTTATTCCTTTTGCTTGTAGTTTCCTGGATGGTTGCGAAATCCGTTTGCGCTGCTTTCAAGCCATGGTTGGAACCATTGCTTGTTGGTATTACAGGGAATCATCAGACACCAGGGTTTCTTTGGTGCGAAATGGACTTTGTCTATCCGCAGTATGGATTCCTAGACTTTCCCATATCAACTTGGGGCTGGCGACCCGGCTCGAGTCAGGCTCGCGGATACGCTGCAGGCTTCCGATTGCTCAACAGCTGCCTGACGGAAAGATGGGGATCAGTGTGCGCGTCTTTGCTTTTTGTTTGAGGTTCCTTGGGTGTTCGATTCGCCAAGTTAGTAAGCGGTTGCTAACCAGCCGGTTTTAAACTACTTACAGCCGGCCAACTCACTCGTAAGTAGGTTCTGCCCCAGGTGGCCGACCACTTACTAACTTGGCTGAACATCCAAGTAGGGGAATTTAAAGAAGGTGTTTTTCCTGTTGGTGTTTCTTTAATCCACCGAATCAGGGGTACCCCGAACAAAGACAGACCCTGTGTCCGGTTGGTTAAAAGGGATAAGTAACACCACACCTTGATCCGCCTGCTTTGAACATCACTTGCTTTCCCTGTTGTGCGCTCACTAGTCCTTTGTAAGTTTCCCTACCGGGAGCCAGCAAGGGATGTTTTTGTTGTTCCCCCACACCCTCTATGCCAGCGCCCAGCTTCCACCTACCTGGAATGTTTGCAGCCAAAGAAATACGGCATTTGCGGGAGAGTTGTACTGTTTCCACTCCTGTTGTACATAAGCAATCCTCCCACAAGGCAGGGTTGGCAGGCAGGGATGAGGGCTGGTCAAACTACTTTCGGGGATGATGTTCCTTCAAACAACCTGTTTAGAGGGTTTCGGGGATTTCGCTTCATTATATCCCCTCGAAATACAGACAGCCACATGGCCCAATGGAGGGAAGCGAATAGGGCGGCCATGTTGCTCGAACCCAGCTAGGTCCCCCAGTGCCCTTTGACCGTTTCTTTTTTGGGGGGGAGGGTTCCCCTACTAAAATAGACTGCAGAAAAGAAATCGAGTACCCTTATTCTAACCTCTCTACTGGAGGACCTAGAAAGTGTATTTATTTTATGCTCATCACGGTTTGGACCGTTGCCAGTTTGAGCTTAGCTTTGGAGAAAGATCTCCTCCCAGTTGTCCTTCCTATGGGCCATTGGGCCAACACCGGGAGTTTTTACATTGAGCTATGTTTCGTGTTGCATGCTTTTTAGCGTCGCGCGGAGTCGCTCTGCATCCGAGAGAGAGAGAGAGAGAACAAAACAATCACAAGCTATGGTTCGGGTTTGGCTGAGACTGAAGAAGTGGTTTTGGCGTTCTCCCCCCAACTGTGCTGTTCACTTGCTGTCGGGGTCATTTGTTTAATTTTTGTGAATTTGAGAGCCACGGTCAAAGCCGGCTCATTGGTGAAGCAAGGACATGTAGCCCATATGTGTCAACAACAAGGGTACCTTTTGCTTTCGGCGCCCTTGTCTCTTTTTTCTTCCGAAAATAGCACCATGACAGATCAACAATATATTATTCTCACCTTTTAACTTGGTGGTTCCCAGCCTTCCCTTTAGGTGTGCTGTGTTTTAGTTGGTTTTGTGGGGGTGTCCTTTTAACCCACAAGTTAAACTTGTAGTGGGGGATCTGAGGACAGCCAGTCACTGTCCTCTCAAATTCACGGCATTAAATCCATGGCTGGTTGTGAACCAAGCCAAAATCCTTTAAGTGCCAGGGAGCTTGAAATGTGCGGAGTTCGACACATTTTGGTGCGTTTCACACATTTGAGTCCATTCACTCAATCTCGTTGGGGGGCATTATGTTGCTATGTGAACTTGCGTGCTGTATTCGCGATCATGCTTGAGCTACGCATGGTCATATCTGAGATCATGTTGAAGTTTGTTTATTTGAGAGAAATCTGATTTCGGGGGGCGGCTGGAGTTGAGAAGCACTTTGGGTGGAAGTACCTCTTGTTCATTACCTTGGGCTCCCTGGGTGGACAACCACTCACGTTTTCTGGGGAGTGCCCACCCTTAGGGGAGGGGTATGAACGGGTCACATACCACCGGCCGTTTTGGTCATCACCGGCCGTTTTGGTCGTCACCGGAAGAGACATGTCCGTGCTTTAAGTTCGGAGATTTGGAGCTTGCAGCATCATGGTTGCGAACACTCACCCCCTACCCAAAATACCCTCTTTTTTCAGGGTATTTTTTGGGGAAACCCGGTTTCCCATGGTAAATGCCTCCTTTCTTAGTAGAGTTTCGACATGATACCCTGAAAAAAAGAGGGTATTTGGAGCTTTCGGGGGTAGTTCCCAACAGCAGTCAGCTCTTGGCTTCTATCTCTAGGCCGGGGGGCGGAAATTTCAGTTTGCCCCTCCAGCTCGGAGACGGGAACGGTTCGCCTTGAACCCTGGAACCCTGTGCTGTTGGGTAGCAAACCTGGATGAATTTGAGAGCCATCTGTGACATCAAGGGAATCCTGTTTCTTTTGTGACAAAGTGGTGATGGAAGTGGCGCCCACATTGGTATCACGCACAACTCGTTGGCTTCAGACAGGTCCAGCATGTTACTGGGCTCCTAATCCCAGCAATTCAGGCACAATGCCAAAGGGTACTTCTCTGTATTTTCACGGAGGGTACCCGGAAGGACACATCTTTCTGCATTCATGGGGAGCTTACGGGTGAAATTTGTCGTAACTCGTCGGATTTGTTGGTCAAAGGGTTCCATTTGCGCCTACCCGGTGTGTTTGATTGGTGGTACATAACATGTGGAGATTTGGTTGGGGATTTGGTTGGGGATTTGGGGATTTGGGGATTTGGTTCACTCCGTGGTCGACATAAATGGTGAGTGGTTCAAGCGCACTCCAATGGAGTGAGGCTGCGATTACTTTCTGCCGCAGATCCGACACAGGATCTGGCTGACATGCGCACAGAGTGAGGGAAGGGACAAGTTTGTGGAATGGGTGTGTCTGTTTTTTGGAGGGGGGGACCCCCTATTCCGGTTCCTTAGGATTTGAAGTTTTTAGGCTATTTTTAGTGTTTGGTGGGGATGTTCCACTTAACCCACAAAAAGTTAACCCTTTGCAGGGAATGTGACGACAGTTCAGTTTTAGTAGGTTTCAATGGGCAACCAAAGGAAGCAAAGCATTTTTTTGGTGTTTCCCGATTTTAAGACACACCCGAATTCGGGCGGTGGACAGTGACACGCAACATGAATTAAGATGTTGATGCACTCAGCCTAGCTGGGGTTGAGCAACGGATTAAAGGAGTGCAGAATGGTACGAGATCTTATAACCTGCAGGTAATGCATTGGTGGTTTGGATTGGCAGTTTGGATTTGGATTTGAACCCCTGGTTCTTGCAGAGGGGAACTTAAATGCGAAACCACCCCTTATCGCCAAACCACCGTCCCAGACTTGCTGCACCCCCTCCAAGCAAAAGAACGTGTAGATGGGAAACCACCACTGATTCGGCCACAAGCCGCCAAAACATTGGGGGGACGCGGGAAGATAAGGACCGGGTTCGAGCTGTTTTGAGAAGCCCCGCTGGGTATTCAGCAGTCTTCCAGGTGCATCTTTTGTAAAGGTTCTTTCGTGCACATGCCCAGTGTCGGTTTGTCATCCCCCACGTGTATGTTCTGTTTGAAAGGTTCAAGTGCACGACACATGCCCAGTAAAGCTTGACGCTTTGCAAAGTGAATCATGTAAGTTGGAGGTCTGTTTGGCACGGAGTATCACAGTGGTTTTGACGAGCGTTTTCTGCATTTGGCAGATGGTCCCTTGGTCAAGTCAGTCAAGCGAGGAAGAATGCACTGGAATGTGGGCGCACCCCCACCCGCGTGTGCCAGATGTTGACACCAAACTCAGACCTTTGCAGGGGCAATTCCTTCCGGACCCTTGGGAGGCCCCAAGGCTTTCCAGAATTTCCAAAATTCGCTTCGTTGAATCCCGGGAGAACCAACCAAAAAGAAACAAGCAGTGATCGCCTTCATTTTTGTTCAGGTTCGTGCTCGAAATTCCCGGAACATTCTGGTGTTGGTGCAGAATTCCCAGAATCTTCTCAACTTTTCTGGTTCTTCAGAATTCCCAGAATCTTCTCAACTTTTCTGGTTCCTCAGAATTCCCAGAATCTTCTCAACTTTTCTGGTTCTTCAGAATTCCCAGAATCTTCTCAACTTTTCTGGTTCTTCAGAATTCTTCAGAATCTTCCCACCTTTTTCAGAATTCTTCTTCAGAATTCCCAGCCCGATGGATTCAATTCCGGAGCCCCTTTTTGACAATCAAGCAGGTGGTAAACAAGCCTGCTGCCCTTCTAGTGCTGAGCCCAGAATGCGGGTGAATTCTGTGAGGATCTGGATGTGGGCCATCCGCATTGATGCCGCCCCCGACGAGAGCGCTCTGAGCGAAGCCGCGCGCGAGCGGGCGGAGCTTGCGACGCGGCAGGCGGCCGCCAAACGCGTCCATTTTAGGGGGTCCACTTGTTGTTTTCTTTTTTGTTCTTCCGGGGGGGGGTACTCGTTTTGCGTTGTTTTTTCCTTTTTCTTTTTTTAAGGGGGTGGTACTCGTTGTTTTTGGTTTTTTTAAAGGACAACCATGATGTCGGGCGGTCCCTCAAACAGGACACTGATTTTTTGGGAGTTTTGCATTGTCGTAATTTTTCATCACTCTCCCAGATGCTGCCAAGCATGACCTGGACGAATTGTGTAACCTTAAACCAAGGACCACACCACGTTTGGGCAAACGGCTGTGGGTCAAAACCAATGGTACCATTTTGGGGTAGGTGCACCACCAATTTAGTCCATTTTCACGGGGATTGGGATGTTCACTGGGGGTACTCGGTTTTGAGCCATGGCCATATTGGGTCCTTTTGGCTGGAACTGAAATCCCCTGCTCGGACAAGCTCCACGCAACAGTATGGATGAAACCCTTTGCAACATGGGGAGAAATGTTCTACCAACTGGTGCAAAGTGGATTTTGTGCATCCACTGCAAAACTGTCGTTCTTCTGATTTTGCCTTGAGAAGACTCGCAAAGCCTTTTGGCAGGGGGTTCTCGGGCGGGTTGGTTTGAGGGGGCCCCTAGTCCCTTGAAAATCAATCAACAGCTTGCGACCTTGTGCAGGTTGGACCTGTTCTCGGGCGCTTGAAAGTGGGGGTGGCAGTTTATGTGGTTAAATGACACTGAAAGGAACCAGAAGGACGGTTTTTCTCTGGTCATTCCAGTTCTGCTTCCCTGAGAACCAGAAGTGTGTGTCCTAGGTGTTGGTTACGCATTGCCTACTGGTTGCTGAAGCCGCAGACTTTGATGAAGCAGAACTTCTGTGAACGGCACTGGGACATCTTGGGCTTTTCCTCCCGTCGGGAGGTCTGTGGTTGTCCAAACTTAACCTGTTCTTCTTCCCGCAGTGCCCTTTTGTAGATCTTCTTCTTTGGGGGGAGGGTTCCCCTACTAAACGACACAGAGAAAAAAACAACTCGGGTACCAACTTATTCTAACCTCTCTACTGGAGGACCTCGTTTTGGGCCAACGGATTTCCAGCTTTACTTTTTCCAGCTGGAAGCGTTTGGCCTTGTAGTTGTCCTTTCCTGTTTAGTTTCATGGGCCAAATGATTTGAACTAGGCAGACTCAGGGAGAGACAGCAGGCATCAGAGGAAGTTTGAGGACCTCTTCTAAGACTGTTCGAGCTAGGAACCTTGCTCAGGAGGTGAGGGGGATTTGGGTGCCCTCCTTTAGAGGTTAAGGATATAGTTACTCTTCTGAGGATTTCAATAGTTAGCCCTTCAGGGGCAAAACAATAGGTATCCCGTTGAAAGGACAAGGAAATCATTTGCCCTCAGGGACAAATTGGTATGGGGTTCAAACACGATCCGTTGGGATTTGCCCTTCCTTCGATCGCTTGTTTGGGGTTTCATAGGGCCGTATGTCAAACTATGGGGGAAGACGGTGGTGCTGTTGGTTTCCCTTCGAAGGCAAAGGGAAGATGGGCAACCTTCAATACTTGATTGGTCTGTCGGGTTTTCCGTAGAGCACCTCTCTGAAAAAAAGAGAGCACCCGTGCCTGGCCAAAAACCGGCAGGTTGAGTCCAAGTACAACGACATCTTGGTGGCCTTGGAGGAGCCGTGCGCGTTGCACTTCGAGGCGGGTCCCGCAAGCTGTCCTTGACGCCGACGCCGACGTTAAAACACAGAAAAAGGTAGACGTGTCAGGACTATGTTCGTGGTGTTTTTTCACGGGTCAGTGCTGATTGTATAGGTTTTTTTGGGAACCCATGGCCATTTTGGACTCTTTGGGAACTGATTTTTCATAATTACGGCTAACGGTTGATGAACGCATAAACTAGGGGTTCATACCATACATGGGCATTTACATTCAGCCTTTGAATGGAAACCGGAGCTGGGATCTCTTTGAAATTATTGGCATGCTTCAAGCTTCACTAACTGTGGGTCAGAATCAAACAGAAGATTGATGTGTTGGGGGAACCGGCGGAGGCCGGAACAGCAACCACCCAGCGTCAGCGTGCCCCTTTCTGTGGTTCTTTCCAATGGACGCCAAGCAGAGCCAGGAAACGGCGATAGCGTCTTTGAGGGCACTCCGTTTCCTGGGTGTTGAAAAGCAAAGAGAACCGCCCGGGCCCCACATTTAGGCGTTTTGGGTTTCGCAAATTTTGGGACACACCCTGATGCCTTCCGAGTCACAACAGAAACCCGTTGCACAAGCCCAAAACCCAGGCTAGCCAAACGGACTGCCTACGAGACTTTACTCCAAGGGTTTTTGTACCACACCCTGTACACCCACTGGGTGTTGACCCCATTTAGGCACATGTCCGGATAAAACCGTGTTATTTTGAACCATTCTGGGTCATTTCCCAAGGGTGTAATCCCAGGGTGTAATACAAAAACTCTCAGATTTTCGTACCCGGGGTTGATCGTGGCTCAGAAAAAGACAACACAGACGGGCAGCGTGAATTGCTGACTGGATCCATTTGCACCACCTGGTAGCAATAGGTGGTAGTCGGACGTGTCGATGTTTGTACTGGCTCCTTGTGCAGAATGCCCCCAGCAAGAAAGGCAAACTACCTCTCTCCTTGAATGAAATGTTGAACAGAGCGTTGTATGGCATGGTTCTGTGAAGCAGGATAGCACCCCACATTTTTATGGCCTTTTAACACCTTGCGCCCATTTTTCCTGGTTCCTTGCCATCTTTCTCACCACCTCTCCAACTCCCAACCCAGCCCGATGGTTTTTTGTTTTTGCGCGCAGGATTACATGCTAGATGACGATCACCCGATTGTCCGGTGCTGAGAAGAGGATTCGTCCCTTCGGCGAAGAAGCTCATGGCGAGATCAAGACTCCTGGTAGATTTCCTTTCCAAGCGTCTTTGTACTGCTCACCTTATGCTTTAAGCTGTGGGACCATTCAATGGGTTTCCTTGTGGTGGGACTGGTTAAAGGGGATATATTCACAATATGGTTGCTACTCACAAGATATGACTGCAATTCAAAAGCAGCCCTGTTTCCGATTCTCTTTGAACTCCGACCAAAAAGGAGTTCCCCATGGACAGGGGTACGGGGGGTTGCCAAATGTAGTGCCCCGAGCGCCCTGTTTGTCTTGTTCCACGCTTAAGTTTGGAAGAGTTCTGTGTTCGATTCAGCAACGTTTGACTTGCTTGGCCTCACTCACTCCGGTAGCAGCCGTGTGGGTCCGTTCATATTTATTGTCTTTTGACACCATTATTGGTGCATTCTTTGCCTACGGAATCCGTGACGTTTGTATGACTGTTTGTTCTTGTCGAAGTGTTTCAAAGTCGTCAGCCGCTCTATGCATGCATCCAGACCCGTACTCCTGAGCCAAAAGCACTCTTGCTCCGTGCTGTAAGCACTCCCCCCTGCCCGATTCTCCCCTTGTTGGTTGGTTCCCTGTTGGGGTGAAACAACATGGCACCTCCTTGTTCCAAAATTGAGCTGCTGGTTGAACACAGTCTTGAAGAAAAATTAAAATATATGCCCGAAACGCTACATACTCTGTATAATGTTATGTATGTTCATAAAGTCACAGGCTGATTCTGTGCGTCCATCTTTTTCAGCTTGGCTAGGGAAACCAAAAGGACAAACCTTTTCGGGTCCCTACTTTGACACGCTTATAAAATCATGGAAGTCGATTTTGGTCCAGGCTTCGCAGAAAGCAGTTTTTGCATGTCAACAGGTTTGGTGCCACGGCTTCCCTTTTTCCCCAAGGGTCCAAGCAACTAGCCCCTCAAAGTCTACTCGCCCGAGCATGGGATCATAGAAGCAGCCCTTGAAGCATACCACAAAGAGACATAGTCCAATTTGCCGCAGGTCTGACTTCCCTCCAGCTTGACACATCTGGCGATACGTGTTGATACGCGTACCTTGTTGAAAACGTGCAGGTCCGTCGCAAAATAGCTGACTTCTTTTTGTGTTCGAAAGCAAGCCACGAGGAAACCCAATCATCCGTCTCAAATCGGTTGCCCCACTCGTTTCTTTTCAGAGGCATCAAACCACCATGCGCCATACTCAAAACCTGGGTACGTGCAGGTTAGTAGAGGACAGTGCCAACGAAGTGCGGAGGTTTGCCCTCCTTAGGGTTGGTCTAGAAAGGGCCCTCCTTGTTTTGAACCTGTTTGTGACCCCTGCAACCGCGGGGAAAGAAAGAGCTTTGGATCCCAAGTTGAATCAGCCCCTTTTGTTAAGCTCTCGAATGGGGAAATGCCATCCCCTGAAATGTCAAACCCACTACTCCCTAGTCAAGGGGTGTAAAAATATGTAGTTTCGGGCATATACCTTTGAGTTTAGAGGTTTACCTTGGTTGAACGGTTCCAGGACCCTCACCCTCAAACCCATCGGACTGGCAATCCGCTCCGCTCGCGCAAAGCGAGCGCAAAGCGAGCGCAAAGCGAGCGCCAGGCGCCGTTGGAAGTTCGAGGTGGGTGAACCGCGGGCTGAGGTCCGAGCGCACTTCCAGTGGATGAAGTCGTTGCAGCGCCGGAGTGCCTGGGAGCCCAAACCGCGCGCCGGATGCACATGCGATACGCGTGCGCGTGCGTCATGTTTTGGGTATTTGGGTGTGTGTTTTTTTTTTTTTGGGGGGGGGGCGGCGGTTGGGGGGGCCGCCCTTCAAAAAACAAACAAGCATATGCTGATTGCAAGCCATAGCACTGAAATCCATTGCCAATTTAATTCGGAGAAGAGAAAGGGAGGGACATAATATAGAGAGGACTGGAACGTTCCGTCCTTCGGTCCGTTTCTTTTTCCTGGATTCCTTTCATGCGTCCACCAATCCCAGAATTATATTTGCAGATGAATGGATTGGCGGTATTGTGAAAAATGACCGACACCGTTCTCTATCCGAATCTAACTCTTAGGCACATCATACGCTAAGCTGAGAGAAGAGAGTAAGGGCTTGCCATGGCTACCGCGGATGGACGAAATCCTGCACCACTTGGAAACCATGGGAAACCATGGTTGGTTGGTATTTACAGGGCAATCAACATTCCGGGGTTTCTGAACGGTCGTGCGAAATGGATTTCGCAACCATCCACAGTATCACTTACCATCCATTCCCCATCTCCATCAGCTCATGCTGGCTTCATTCCCTTCTCTGGGAGATGGCGGAATGAGTAGATGAGAGATGCAGGGAGACGGCCATTCTCTGGGACTGTCTTGTTTTGAGAGACTCGCCAGCGTGTTTTTTTTGTTTCCTGTTTCCCTTGAAAGCCACGACATGGCTCCCCACTGCCTCCAAATCCGTATACTTTTTGTTTGGAACCTCGTGCTCTTCCCGTTTCAACAACCCCAATCCAAGGTACCAGTTCTCTAGTGCTCCGCAGTTCAAAGATGGTGAGCAGCAAACAGAAGCAATACCCCCCAGAAATTCATTGAGATATACAGCCACTATATTGCCAGAAAGCCATCTTATCTTGGGTTTTGGGGAACTTTTCTTGGGGTTGCAAAGGAGACGAAGCGATCACCATGGCCGTTTTTTTGGGATTCCAAACTGCGGCATGCATTTAAGGCTAATAGTGCATGAGTGGGGGAACCACCCCAATACTCCAAGTTTCACTCAAATCCGGGGTCGACAAGTCACCAAAACCTCAACCAACACTTACACAGTTGATTCTCCTACGTCGATGCGAGTTGTTTTGACAAGGCCCTTGAAGATCAGGTCCTCAAGAAGAAGCGCGGAGCGAAGCTGGACTGGACGGAGAAGTATGACAGCCATCGGACCAGGTCCCGTGCTTCGTGAGCTCGTCGGACGCAACTAGTTTTTCCGTTTTGTCGGGGAAAACATGGCACCCCAAAAGATGCGAAGGAGGAAGCTGCTTTTGAGGAAGCCACAAAAAGGAGCTTCAGGTGAAGAAGGGGCGTGAAGAGCGCAGAAGTTTTAGTCCAAGGTTTTGGTATTGTCTTTTTCCAAGGTGCCATTTTCGGTACCAAGTTTGAGCCACAGCCATTTGAAGTTGAGCTTCCACGTCCGACTGGCAGTCATGCGACCTTGTCGCATGGCTTCGAATCCATGTCCGTGCCATGGTCAAGACAATAGGGGTCGGTTGTTGTCACGAAAGCTAGCTGTCCTAGCGGGAGTACGAAGCTTGAACTTCTTTTTTTAAAGGGGCTGAGCTTCCCATGATGCCCGATTTAATCAGGGTTTGCTAGGCCAGCTTTCGTTCACCCGCCTCTCAAGTTTTTTTGTTGGTACCCCTTTGGTGTGGTTTTAAAGGGAAGCCAAAAGGAACACAGAAGCCATTATGCCGCTCCCGAAAACACGACACTTATATATAATATGTCAATCATATGGCGAGATTTACTGGGAGTAAACTGAGCTCTGTAGATCCTTTGCTTGGAGATCCCATAGGGTTTGCAATGCAGATGTTGCAGTTCTTTGTCTTGGGGTGGGGATGGTCAATCCCGTAGGGAATTGATACAACCACGATTGTTCCTATGAAAGGAACCATGATCATGGCCAATAGAAGTTTCGATCACTTGAGCAGCACCCAACACTGACTCCTTTTTGCCATTTAGTATATGGGGGTTGATCAAGGCCCGCAAATCACAATGGGTAACTGGGCCATTTAGTGGGCTTCATCATCTTTTCATTGATTTCCCCAAAGGTCATCCTATCCAAAGGACCTATTGATCATACGGTTCTTTCCAGGCTTGCAATATGGCCCATGTAAGCCCTTTGACACATTGTGAACCAAGCACCAACCGGGGAAACCGGGGCGCTCATGTCTTGCGTGTAGGGAGCTGCCCGGCACTGCTTGGTTTGTGGGACCCGTAAAGAGGCTTGTGTATTGATTCTCACTTCTTTTTACTACTGTTCTTATAGGTATACTGCCATATTGCTCTAGTGGGGAATTTATTCAGATCATATAACTATTTTAGTAAGAAAACATATTATTCTGTATTTTTGCAGCCTCAGTGGATTTCTTGGTGCCTTCTAAGGAGGTACTTAGACCCCCTCTTACCCCCCCAAGAGCCATACTTGGACCCTTTGGGAGAGATTGAGACCAATTACTGGGGGAAATGCTAAATACTGGGTTCGTTTTCGGCTTCCATTCACTTCCCAAGGTGGTTTTACCCAGAGTGTTCTTTTGGGGATCAGAGCTGGGCGTGGCCAGGAACGACTACCAATATGACCGCCCCTATACCGCAGTGCGGGATGCGGACTTTTTGCAGGCCGGAAAGGGGTCAAGAGTTTCAACCACCAGCAATTGGACCACAGGTTTGAGTCCTTTTCATTTGCCAGAGTTCCATTTTGGGGTACGTGATTTTGGCGGGGCTCCAAGGGGATGGGGCACTTGCCCCAAGAATCTCCGAACATGAAAGCGCTTCCCGGTGTTTGATCACCACACCCGAACGGCCAGCCACACATGTGCACGGTTGCGAGTGTAGCGCATGGTTTTCAAGCTGCATGCCGATCGATTCAAGATGAGTCATGTCATCTCAGGGCCAAATGGCGGTCTATTCCCGTCACGAGGGAGCTGAGCTTTTCGTAAATGAGACATGTTCCCCCTTCAAGGGACTGGGGCTGCCTGGAATTCCCATGAAAGCTTGATCAATTTACTGGCGGGTTCCAATAGTTTGTGTTTTTGGAGAAAAGGGGAAATGTTGGGACCACTGTACCCCAGTGTCCTTCTCTTCTGTTCGGGGTAGGCTGCAACAAAGGAATGCATCCCCTGAGCACAGCGTTGAAACCCCTTTGCCGCGTCTTAAGGGCTTAAAATGACTTAGATGATTCTCTCTTATATGGGAAAGGCTCAAACACATGTACCAAAATAGCACCTTGGCACGGAACCGAAGGCTGAAACCTGCATAACCCTAGTTCTTTAATTTTGAGCCACACCCATATGAGGTCATTGGGCGTAAACCTCCCTCAAGCCTCCATTCTTAATTTCTGCGCTGCAAGCAGTGACCCCAATCCCACACCAAGCCTCTTCCTGGACCCATGGACAGATGCGTGCCAAATGTCCTCAAGCAAACCACGGCTGGAAACCACCAGAAATTCACCTGAAGTGTTGATCTCTGGGCAATACCCACCAGATTCTCCATGAACTAGCGCGGGAAACGCCCTGACTAGAGTCCGATTAATCCAAACTCACTTTCTGAGTTCATGGATTTCAAACTGTTTGGGAAGACCCTTGAAGACCATTTTAGTGGCAAACTGTTTTTTTTGTTTTGGGCCCTCCACTCAGGAAGCGAGTCGAAAGGGAACTCCTTCGTGTGTCCTTTCTGAGTGGCTCTGGTTTCAGTTTCATTCTTCTACCAGTGCCATGCCTTTTTCCATAAGGATACATACTGTTGGACAAAATCCCGCTCCACTCCGGATAGAAGTCCTAGAACTATGTGGATAAACTGATCAGCCACCTACCAACTGCAGGATGCCGTCCACAGCCATGGTTTCCGAGCCATGTCCCTTTGTGGATCCTCCGGTGGCATGTTTGCTGGAAACCACCAGTAAACTCGTCAACTGTTGATTTGGGGAAGTCCAGTTGGATCCTCCAGTGGGACATTTGTTGGACACCATCGGCATTTTTTGGGGGAAATCTACTTGTGAAAAGGGCATCCATTGACCCTTGTCCCACTTTTGGACCTTGTCCTTCATGTTCTGTTTGACACATGTCCTTCACCGTTCTTGGCAAGTTGTTTGGTTTTTTGGCTCTGTCCATCAACAAAATCATACGTCACTTCTTGTTGCAGCCCAGACCAAAGCTTGTGAAGCTTCCTAGCGAACCCAGGCAGCCGCAAAGGGGCCCCGAATCCCCGAAGCGCTCAGCGGCAGGTCCTGAACGAACGGGAAAGAGAGCTGCTGGACCTGAAATGTCCAGCGCTCAGAGCTTTTGTGCTGAAGCTGGTCACCAGGAAGAAACGAGCTGGAGTCAAGCGCGTGGGAGTTATGTTTGAATTTTTGGTCCCCCCCCCTTCAAGTGGTTGGCGTTCTCAGCCGTTCTCAAAATGGAGCATGATCGAACGAGTTGTTTTTCTTTTTTTTCAGGGAATTTATTGCCGAATTGTATTTTAACGCCTCCGGCATTACAGGCCTGCTTTCTTATTTGCGTCCCTTTGGAATTGTCCCCTTGCCCCCTTCCCCTCTAAGATCTTTTACCCCCGTCCCTCCCTGAGATCTTCTCCCCCTTTTCCTCCCTATATAAGATCTTTTCCCCCCTTTCCCTGTTGAGATCTTTTCCCCCTTTCCCCCCTAAGGCTTTTTCCCCCCCTGAGATCTTCTCCCTTTTCCTCCCTAAGATCTTTTCCCCCTTTTCCTCTCTAAGATCTTCTCCCCCTTTCACCCCCACCCCCCAAGATCTGTTCCCCCATTTCCCCCTTCCCCCCCTTTTAAAATATTTTCCCCCCTTCCCCCCCTAAGCCCCCCTTTTCCCCCCACTAAGATCTTTCTCCCCCTCCCCCCCTCATAAGACCTTTTTCCCCCCCCTTTCACCCCCTAAGATCGTTTTCCCACTTTCCCCCCCCAAGATCTTTTCCCCTTGCCCCCCCCCCCCCCCCCCCCCCGGGAAGATCTACCCTTTGTAAGATCTTTTCCTTTGCCCCCCTTTGCCCCCTAAGATCCCACCCCCCCGCGACACTCTCCCCCCCCTAAGATCTGTTCCTTTCCCCCCCCCCCCGATCTTCTCCCAGTTCCCCCCCCCTATTTTTTCCCCCTTTCCCCCCTTAAGATCTTCATTCCCCTTCACTTTCCTTCACTTTCCCTTCATTTCCCTTTATGTCCGTTTTTGTCCTTTCCTTCATGTGACTCATGTGACTTCATGCCATTCATTTCCTTGCATGTTCCTTCATTTCCAGATTTTCCTTCACCAGCATGGGAACATCCCCAGCAACACTTGCATCATCCGCTTCCTTGGCAGGCGGTGATGCTGGCGATGTTGCCCAGGAGATGCTAAGGATGCAAACGCGGACCGGGGTGGAATTGAACACCCCAATGTTTTTACGCAACACTGTCCTGGAATAAAGGATTTAGTCGAACGTCTTCCCCGGAGGGGCAACAGGGAAAGTATTTCTGATGTCCCACACGCCGTCTTTTGTCGATTTTGTCATCTTCTTCAACTACTTTTAATGCACCAATGTCTAAAACAGATGAGAAAGGATGCGTTTCGAGCGGTTCTCAAAATGTTCCTTTTCTTACAGCACGGCCGAATATAATGCACATGTTGAGTGTTCAAAACGTATTTTTTGGGTGTTTCCCCTTTAGCCACCATCTAGGGATTTGATCCTGTCGCTTTAATGACCCAGTCTTGTGCTAGCTGCGCCGCCCACAGCTTTGTGCTGCTTGCTCCGTTGCACTGTTGATTGGGCGGGGGGGGGGGGACACATATGTCTCACAAATTGGTGGCGGACAACTTGTGTTTCCCAGATCCTTTTGGGGCGACATGCAAAATATGACCACCAAGACCGGTTTGCAGAGGCGCACCTCTTGCGACTCGCTGGACGCTTGACTCACAGAAAGATCCGGGGCGTCCCGCACGTCGCAGGTTTAGACGTTATGAACGAACAGGGAAAGGAGCTGGCGGGTGCGATGGGGTTTGTTTTTCCTTTGCAAGCGCTGGAGGAGGTGACTGTGCGCAAATAACTTCAGCCCTAACAAGGCTATATTTAGCATGACCGTTCTTTGAGTTCTGAGACCCTTATGTGTTTTAGGGATATTATTTCATGTTGCACCTAGTTAAGTTATTGCCATGGTCTCGAAACATCTTAAAAGCCGAAATGGCAGGTACCCTCCCTTCCACCAGCCCCTTTGGGAGGGCCTGGAAAATATGGGTTTCCTCCTCAAAGGACCCAAGCTCAGGTGCTATGTTAGCGGGAGGGAGGGTAAACCAGGAGATGTTTCTCGAGCTCGTGTGAAAACTGATTTGGAACCGTCTGAAACCCCAGGCGCCTCCCAAAGAAATTATCCAAAAGGATTGAACTGATTGGACATGTCAACTCTGCTGGAGAGTAGTGTGCAAAACATGGCTCTCTTTGGGCTCCGTGTTCGTGTTTGCTATTTTTCAAGGGCCCAAGGTTGAACATGTTGGCCAAGCAGACCTTGCCTTCAATGCTGTTTGACCTGTTCAAGGCGAATCCATGGACTAGTGGGCCATTTTGATCTGAAGAGCGCCCAAGCGTTTACATTCCTTTGTTGCATTTTCTTGGATGTTAGGACTTTTACTTTTTGCCAACTAATGGGTTTTCCATTAAACCACTAAAAGTTATTCACTTTTAGCAGGGGAGCAGAAAGCAACCGAGATTGCTCACGCCTTCTGCATTGGGAGTGTCTGTCCACATTGTTGGCGGTCCGAATCCCAGCTTCTCGGACGTTTTTTTTCTTTCTCCAAGCGCCAAGAGTTTTGCGCATTGGGGCAGCAACGAGCGCCTGAACTACCTGAACAATTTGAAGAAGGAGACCATCCTACATCCCCCAGTAGTGCCCTTCTCTCCCCGGTTTTGGGGGGAGGGTTCCCCTACTAAAATAGACGTCCTGAAAAAATCGGGTACCAACTTATTCTAACCTCTCAAATCTGGAGGACCTAGTTGGATATGGCAAAGAGTAGAAGTCTAAAGAAGCAGAGCCAAGCAACTTCTTAACAGATAGGTGAGATGCAACTTATTTGCGTTTGAGCATCAGGTTGCCTCTGTCCAACAATCAAAGTTGACTAGAGGGCAGGTCTGTGGGTGTGTCTCTGACAGGGTCTGGGGGGGCCTGTTCCAAGAAGAATCGACCGGAGGGCAACAGAAGGCAGTGGCAAAGTGCCCGGAGAAGTTCCCCGAAAAGGGGCCGTCAGGTGCCATGGCGTTGGAACAAGATGCAACGCCCTTCGCTGTGTCGTTTGAGGTGATCCTTCAAGTTGTCTTTTTGTTAGGGAGGGGGGGGGGCAAGGGGAAAAGCACTAGTTTGAGGGTACCTATCCGTCATTAAGTCTTTTTTTGGGGGGTCGGGGGGAGCAACGGGAAAAGCAGAAGCTTGAGGGTGCCTCATTTTGCGACGCAGCATTTCGCCAGGACCCCCGCACTGTGCCGATGCTCTGGGAGCTGAGCCAAAGTGTGGAACGAGTGCCAGGCCCGGCCCGGGGCGACCGGCGTGACGGGGTCGGAGCTTTCGCTCGAGAAGCGCTTCAGACTTGCCCGAAGCGAATCCGCGGGATCAAGCGAATCCAAGGGTGTTCCCTTCCTATTTGGGGTTCCCGTTTTGAGTGGTCCCAAAACTCCATGACGATTTGGTTGATCTTTGGACCTCTTCGAGTTCGGGTTTTTCGGCGGGTTGAGACATGGAACCGGAGTTTGTTGACTTCCAGGGTTGTGGTTGATCACTCGGAGTTTAGCTTCCATTTGCTGAAATGAATATGTTCTTCTTATTTACCCTTGTTGGTTTTAAAAGGAATGTGTATTTTTCCAGGGGTCTTAACCAAGTGGAAGTTAGCCAGCCACTTCTGTGATGCAAGGGAACGCCTTTTTTTACATGGGCGGGTTAGTTAGTTTTTTTTTGAGGCCCTGTTTGTTGTTGGTCATTTCCGAAACAGCCCTGTCGACTCCTTTTTAGGAAGGCCTTCTGTTGAATCCTGGCGCTTCGGAAGCAGCGGTTTCGTCCAGTTCCAGACAGGCTTTTAGCGTTTTTTGTTGGTTTAACCCACAAGTTAATCTTGAGCAGGGGATCTGAGAGCAGCCCTGAAAAGCAGGATTAACAGCCCAGAGGGTCTAAGTACCTCCTGAGAATGTCTTTAGGGGGGTAAAAAGGGCTCGTTCAGTACCTCCTTAGAAGGCACCAAGGGACGCTCTGGGAGTGGAATGGGGCCAGCGTTTGGCTGGCGCAAACCTGGGTCATCGCACTGGGGCGACGAAGGAGGTCACACAAACCACTTGTCTTGCTGGTTCTCAGCAGAGCATCCGGGAATGGCCCCTATAAACCTTTTGTGGTTTCCTTTCAGGGAACGACTGGATTAATTCCCACCAGCAAGTTGTGCAGACCTTTCAATTAGATGCCACCTGGGTGTGCCTCAAAATGATTTGACCCCCTTTTGGTTGGCATTTCAAGGGAAACAAAAAGGAACACCCACCTGACTAAACATGTCTCCGAAAATCGGCAAATGCCCTGCCTCATTCTGGATGTTGTAAAAGGAACTGCGCTTGAAACGAAAAGCGCCATCGGAGGGCTCGTTTGACAGATGACCTAGCCCGGCGAAACCCTACGTTGACCCCAGGTTTTTGTAGGTGATATGACCATGATCTGCTCACTAACGCGAATGCACTGGGGATTATTTTGCTTTTGGTCTACTTTTCGTTGTTTGGGTCCAAAAGGGATTTTGTTTATTTGCAGTTGAGAAAATCGAGCTTCTGTGAAACCAGTTGAAAGGGCCTTTCCAAGGGCATTGTTCAATCGATGGAGGTACTTGTTCCTGGTATCGCAGAAGTGGAATTCTCGATCCTCTCCTTCCAAAACCCTGGGGTGCAGAGTTGTTGCCTTCTTGAACTGCAGGAAAAGTGTTGGTTGGGCGTTTTGAACCTTCAAGATCAACCAACAAAAAGAGGATGACCTATGTCCCACTGTATTTTTGTTCTTTGTTTTTCTCTTTTTTTCTTTTTCTCGGACAGCTGAAAACTATGGGGTCTTTATGGGGTCTTTGCCCAAATAAGCTCTGGGGTGGTTTGGGGCAGCTTTCAGCCTGGGCTTATGTTTGACTTTATCGTTTGCTTTATTTGTGTTTCTTGTTGTTGCCGTTTTTTGTTTTTTTTTTCTCTGGGGTGGGGGGGGTGGGGAAGACAGCTTCTCAAAATGAACCAACCATCCAAAGGTGCAAATCCTTTCCTGGGCATCAAAATTCCGTGATTCCTTGCAGGGGACGGTCTGAGGCCCCAGTCCCCGGAATCAAGGGGAGCCCTTGATGGTTGGTCACTGGAAGATCAACATCTTCAGCCGTCCCCTGAGTTGTTTTTTTGAAAGTTTTTAGCGTTTAGTGGGGGAGGGGCTTCCATTTGACCCACTAAAAGTTGAAACTTCTAGCAGGGGATCCGAGGACAGCCCAGAGATGAATCCAGAAAAACAGGTCATCTGTAAACGAATCACCGTTTGGGGCGGGCTCCCGTTTTCGGTTCCAGGCGGAATGATTTTGCAGCTGTTGACGTATAGAGCAGAAGATAGTTATGAGACCCGACTGGCAGGCTTGTATGATCTCGGGCAGCCAATCCTTGTTCTTGTTTTCTCTGAACAAAAATGGACTGATGTCTAAATAGTCGACCTTGTCTTTCAATGTGAATTGGAGCCGTGGCAAGGCCAGCTATTGCAGCTCTTTTTTTTTGTGCCATGTTCACTTCTCGTGGCTCGCGCTGCTATTGTGTAGGGCATGCAGGGAACTCGCGAAAAAATAGAAGCACTGGTTGACGAGCTGGCGATTGGAAGGGAGCCAAGGAGCTGGGGGTATCCGTTTTTGGTTTTGTTTTTGTTTCTTTTATATATATATATATTTAGAGAGGGAGCCAGGGAGCTTCCACCAGTGCAGGACATGGTCCAATGGTAGTTGAGAGGGTCTCAGAGGGTTTCTTTACAAAGGCAAAGGAGAGATGTGCGAAGAGGCCCCTTTAACTTCCTAACAAGGCAATCAAAAACTTCAGCCGTGGCTTGGGCCGCGTCCGTGGCGCAGGGGTCCGCGTTCGCCGTGATCGTCAGAACTATGCCACCTGTATTTTGCCAGGCCGGCTTTGCATGCTGAGTTCTTGTGTTTGGAGCTCCCTGATTGCCCGCACGGCAGGTTTACGCTTAGGGTGAATTGAAACCTCGCCCCAGTTTTTTTGTTTCTAGTCAGCTTTGCGGCAGTTGTTGTTTCTCTTTCGGAGCCCCCCCCCCCTCAAAGATGCCTTGTTTCCTTGTGGCAAATCAGGGATCCGGAAGGCGCGTTGGCAACTGACTGATGCAGAAGAATGACCGGTGCCTATGATTTCTACCGCGGCTGCAACAGCAGTGGCCGGACCAGGACAGCTGTGACAGGCCAAAACTCGAGCGAGCAGTGAAGAGGACAAGACCAGAACAGCAACCTTCGGGCAAGCCGTGCCCACAATTGTAGCTGCTCATGTAGTTGGACCTTGGGGTTGCGGATGATGTGTCCTTGCCAGAGCTTGTCTGGTCCCTCGAAGAATCGGAGTGCCACGAAGGGGAATCCCAACCAAAAACAGGAAGCGTCTGCAGTTGGATAGGGGTCAGCACCGCCTTGCTGAGAGCTTTCGCTCTCGGATCAGCCAGCTGCATGCTTGAGACCCTGCACGCAGTCGGATTGACCCTTTTGGCGCCTGAGTGTGGTCGCAGTCTCGCTTAGTCAATCGATCTTCGGCGGGGTGGGCGTGTTTGTTTCCCTGCGCCGTCTTTAGGCAGCAACACGCACAGATGCAAACTGTCTTGGCCCTGCCCAAAGCAAATCAATCTTTATCCTTTTGGGATTGCCTGTTTGGTTCCCAAAGCAAAGGGTTTTAAACGCTCCCTGATGGAACTTAGCATCTATTGACGCACATGTCCTTTGTCCTGTGAGTTGCACTGATCTGTACGAGCGCTCATGTGTGTTTCCCAACGCTGGTTTGGTGTATCCTGGCCCACTCCTTCGAGTTGCCCCTAAGCAGTAAGTGAATTGCAGGCGAAACTCCCCGGGATCAAGGCTTTTTTGGGGGTCTGGAACTCATGTCGTAGCTACCACCATCCATTGACGTGAAACTTGCCTGCAAGGTTTCCAGAAAGGCATTTTCCCCCAACAGCCAGCTCTGCTACAATCGCCTCTGTCTATTCGGCAGGCTCTGCCCTTGAAAACATGGTGAGCTTTTTGGTGACCCATTGACGGTGTACGTTCCTTTCGCATGCTACACAGCTCGTCCTTTGATGCAAGCATTCGGTACCTATCCAGGCAAGTTCCCAAACACCTGCTTTCATTACAAGGGAGTCCTCGCCGATTTGGACCATTCTTAAGTGGCCCTGGTATTTGGGGGAACTTGCAGTTCCTTGAAGCTGGCAGGTATGCTGTGGCACTCCTCGCGGCACCGCTGGGTGCTGGGTATCGAGAAGCTGGCGTTGCAGGGCATTTTCGCCGAGGCGTGGGCGGCTCCCCGCAGGCTAGAGCCAAGAACGCTTGCTTCTCAGTGAGGAGCATGGGTCTGTACCATTTTCGAGGTTTGTTTTGAGGCAGGCCAAAAGGAATCCCGCATTTTGAGGGTTCCCCAAATCGGTTTTGTGTTGCCACTTTCTTCACGTGACCTGGGGAATCCTAAGCCCACAAATGCCTTAGCAAAGTAGTCGCAGGGGATGGCCAACTTATTACAGAAAGGTGAGACGGGAATACCTGACCGCGGGATGGCCCATCTCCCAGTCAGCTTCTATGTTGGGAGGGTATGCGGGATTCATTCACTAGCCATCCACTTCTGGTTAGGGGGGCCAGGAAGCGAACGTTTTTGGGGCCAAAGACACTTCTGGAAACCTTGGACAGTGTTGCCACCTTCAAGTTGAGTTCTTCAAGAGGGCCCCCCTGTTTGGAGGGTGGCGTCGTTGCTACATAAAAGAGGGGACACCAGCACTGTTGTTGTTGTTGTTGTTGTTGTTGATGATGATGATGATGATGATGACGACGATGACGGTGACGATGCTGATGCTGATGCTGACGCTGATGCTGATGGTGGTGACGATGACGATGACGATGCTGATGCTGATGCTGATGGCAAGAGTAATGGTGGCGGTGACTGTGGGGGTGGGGGTAGGCATGGTGGTGAGTGAGTAATGAGGAAGCCTTAAAGGAGGTTTTTCACTGTCCTGCCAGGACCTACGGGACACCAACTTCCCTCAGAAGTTGCTTGGGGACCTCGCTGGCAATGCCTTTACCACGCCCCTCGCAGAGGTTTGGTCTTACCCTTTTTTCAATGGACATGGGCGGAACGGGTTGTGAAAGATTACCTCATAAAAGGCACCAAACCTCCACTTCCGTACCTGCGCAGAGCCGAAACCACTTCTTGGCCTGATTTCAGCTGGTTTGTTCAATCATCCAGAATCCATATGCCATGAGCTCCCTTGTTGTGGTGTTCCAGCGGTTCTGCTGCCTGGTCTTATGGGTGTCAGGGTCATACAAACCTTTATAACCCTTTTGGCAGAAGCAAAAGTCAACATGTTGGTTTGCGGTCGAAAGGCCGTGCCATGCCAACTCTGCAAAACATGTACCAGCATTTTCACCTAGCTACCAACACTCCACCACAACCCAAAGGTGCCAACACAGTTTGGTTCATCTTGGCGGTTCCCAGTCGGCCCCTTAGGATGTTTAGTGTATATATATATATATATATTGGGTGGGTTTCCATATAACCTCAGTTAAAATACTTTTACCAGGGGATCAGTTTGGACGGCCCAGTGCTGTATGTTGTGTTCTTGACCAGGAGACATTTTTTGTTGGGCCACCGGAGCAACGGTGTTTTGTCGCAACTCCAATCGAAAGCCATGGCTGCACAGTTCAGGCAACAGGGTGTGACCGCCAACTGGGATTCAACCCCCTCCAAGTGGTGGGCTTTATGTTATTTCAGTGTCCAGTGAAGCTTATTCCCAATGTTTCGACCATCCCCTGAAAACACTTGCTATTCCCTTCACTTTTGGGTGCTTGTCTTGATAGAAGAATCTCTGGACAGAGTGGCACAGTTGCCGCGCAACCTCATACATTCCAGAGGCATACAAAATCTTGCCTAGAAAGAATCAGCTCGCCCAGATTTTAGGGGTCTGTCTGCAGAACCAGCATGTGTTTGGGGACATATCAAATATGACCTCGTGGGGCCGAGGGGGTGAGGAAAGAAGTTCCTAAAGTTTCCAGTTCCGTTGACTTTAGAGCTAGTCTAGCTGAGTGTTTCGCAATGGAATCCACACGCCGAAGCCCTCGTTCAGCAGTAGATTAACAAGGCTTGTCTTTTGGGGGGTGGGGCGGCCTATGTTTATAAAAACCCTGAGCTCCCCTATATTGAGGTAGGCCATTGTTCTGGTCAGAACATGCATGGCCCATTTGGGGTTCACAGGCAGCCACAAGCTGCGGTGAATGAGATTCAAGCTTTTCCACATCTATAAATGACTGGTTGATTGATAGGCGGTTGCATCCTTCATTTCTGGGGCCAACTTCCTGCCTGTCACTCCGGGTTCATTAAGCCACATTCATTAAGGGACCCTACAAAAAAGAATGTCCGCGTTTCTTTTGGGACGTGGAAAATTGACTACAGTCCGCCCGAAGGGGCCTCCCATCGGTTTTGTTCCGCAGACTTTGCTGAGGTCAGTCTGCGCGGCCAACATGATTGCGATCATCGCCTGTGCGGGAGCGATGAACGGCTCGCCATAGACACGGGTTCGACTGCCAGACGCAGACCTCCGGATGTTTTTTGCTTCACACGGTCGGAGGTCTGGGCTTAGGAGCAGTGTCGCTATGAAAGGACAAGGTTGAATTTCAAGATAGCTCATAGCCAAATTAGCAAGGGATTTGTGTTTGGTTCCTGGTCGATGTCATTCAGATGCATGTGCACGGGTGTGCACATGCACGGGCTTGCAGGACGCCGAGTCGTTTCTGCATAAGGGGACAGTCTGGCAGCTGTCGATACACTCCAAGCAGCTGAAATCCTACTTCCTTTGTGGCGGCTAAATTTGTACTTCCCAAATGGGTGTGGCTAAATGTATGAGCAAGAAAGCACATGGAAAGCAATCTTGAATTGTTCCAGGCACCCTATCGCCTTGCTTTCATGCACCGTTGAGCTCATTGTGCATGACTTCACCCTGCGTTGCACAGAGCGTGCCTTTTTATGGTCCCTCACGAGACATGGTTATTCTTCGCGGGAGTGCCCGTTCCCGCGTTTGTTTGCTTTCCATCTCGTGACGCTCCTCAACAACTAGATGTCTCTTTCAAGGGAATTTCGTCGTCCCAGAGAGGATTGCAGACTTTAGAAGAGAGCCAGGCAGTTTGGATGCCGCTGCTTGGATTTGACAGCTGCTGCTGAGTTGAGAGCTGGAAATGGCCTCGAGGGAGCATGGACATGTGTCAGCAGTCTTTGACTGGTTTTGCCTTCGAGCTTTTGTAAACATAGTACATGTTTGGGAATCACTGAATATGAGCCGGAAACAAAGACATGAACTTTGTTTGGGGCCAGCAGGTGACGGAGGTCCTGGCTTGCCTATTGCTTGAGCCTGCAAAAGTAGAACTTCTTCGGAGTCATTTTCTCGTACTTTTGGTGGCATACTGGAGTCTTTCAGTACACAAATCAAACGCTTCGGCTCGTGGGTTTCAGACCGCAAAGGACTCCTATTCACGTGACCGAAGGGTTTTGGACAAAGAAGCTGGCTCGCCTTGTTTTGGAGTTGGTCCCCCTTGTTTGGTGGTTTTAAAGGAAACCCTGGGGCCATTTTGGGGGGTCCGACCTTTAAACAAGACAACCCAGAGGACTAACACCATGATCCGTTAATTTGCTGAAATGAATATTTGTTATGTTCCCCTGTTGGTTTTAAAGGGAATCTATCACTACTGGACATATTTGTTATTTTCCCCAGGGGGCGAAGAAGCAAATGGAGGTCACCGAGCTCCTGCGATTTTTTGGGCTCCGGGTCAAGGTGGGGAGCCTCTGACCGTCGGAGAGAGAAAAACAACGTAGGGCCCGATGCGCCGGGTGCGAAAACTGGGAGGGAGGTTTTTTTTGGGGGACCTTGGGTTGTTTGGATTCCAGGAACAACAAGAGGAAATCAAGAGGGTTTTTTGATATTTTCTAAGGAGCCTCCCTTTTACCCCCCAAAAGCCATTTAGGAGGTACCAACTGTGCCTTTGGAGCAGCAAATTGGAAGTTGTTGCTTTTCAATCGTGGTTGAGTCATGTCTTACCCAGGGTATTTCCTGATAGGGCATTGCCTGCCCAACATGGACCGAATGGTTAGCATTCCAAGCCACAAAGGGTCACACTGGTTCCCTGAAGAGCCATTGGCGCCATAGTTCGAGTGTCTTGGTTCCCAGAGGCTTCCGATTTTTTTTGGGGCCCTACCGCCAGGTTTTGAGAACCCCAAACACCTCTGGGGTGTCTAATGGATCGGGTCCATTGAAAGCCCCAGCCTCTTGCTGGAGCTTGTTGCAATCGTTTCTCGGTTTGCGTTTTGTGGTGGGCGGGAGACGGACATCCCCTCAGTTTGCTGTTTGATGACCCTAGTTCGGGAGGGTCCGGCTCCAAGGTGTTTAGTGGTTTTTGTTTTTTATTTTTTTTACTGGTTGGGTTTCCGAATTTCACCCACTAAAAGTGAAGAACTGCTTTTGGCAGGGAATCTGAAAAAAGCCCAGAAACCGACTGGCGCATTGGGTTGAAAATCCAAGCCTGTTTTTTCTTTGATCTCCCACCCAAAAATGCATTGGCCGATCAGAGATTTCAATCCAACATCAAGGAATACCATGTTTTCCTAGGGACTTGCAAGACTGAGCTTGGATTGGCCCATCTGGCGAGGCTTGTTTGTTTTTGCGAGCTCCTCCATTCGAATCCTCGTTGGGGTCTAACTGCACTTCCCGGGACATTGCGCCCCGTGGGTTTGTAGGAGGATGATCCCCAAGCCAATGTCCTTTTTAGGTGAGCCTGATGAAAAATCGATGGCACTGGTTTAGATGGGTTCTGTTCCATTTACTAGTGCCATCTATTTTTCGAAAAGGCTACCTATCCCCAAACCAATGTCCTTTTGATTGCATGTCTAAGTGTTGTTTGGATGCTCATCTCCTTACCCTTGTTCGAGGGAGTGAGAGACACCTATTGCTTGGTGACTTATGGTGATTTTCCCAGACTTTTGAGGCAAAATCTAATGAGTTCTTGTGAATGGACCCTTAATTGATCCCTCTTGCATACCAAAGCTGGGACTTGTTTCAGGGGTAAGGGGTATGCAAGTGGGGCAAACTTTCAGCGTCCATCCAGAAGGACCCATTAGATTGTGCTTAGAGACTTGCAGATGGAAATGGCCTCAATCCGTGAGCCTCCCACTTTGACCACTTCGCGATTGCGTCCAGCGTAGGTCTTCACACCAAGTTGCATCTATGTGTTTGAGTCTCTAGGTTTCAAGACACAAAGAGATGGGTGTGACTAAGAAATAGGGGACCCCAACAAGAGGTTTCCTTTTGGTTTCCTTTTGGTTGCCTTTTGGTTTCCCTTGAAAACCACAAAAAAGCAGTGCTTGCCAGCGTCCCTTTGGTTTCCCTAAAGAGCCACAAAAGGATGGTACCCTCAAAGAAAGAAGCACACCCATCCACCTTCAAGCAGGGCCCCCGACATTTCTGCCGTCTGATGGCGAAAGCGGCATGGGCCGAAGCCGGCGGCGGTTGGCCCTAGGATGTCGAGGCCATGGAGATAGCACGGAGGGTCTTCCACATCCCTCAGGTGTCCCACAGTGTGTTTTTGTGAGTCCGTTTTGGATACCGCCAAAAAACAAAGAAACTCAGCCATGGAGCCATTGAGACACATTTTTGGGGCGTCTCAAAAGGTGTGACGCCGTTTTGAATACCGGAAAAAACAAGATCAGAAACTCAGCCCTCATGGTCTAGGTCCCCCGGCTAGGTGCCCTTTCTTTTACCCACTTTTTTGGTTGGGAGGGTTCCCCTGCTAAAATAGAATGCAGAAAAAGGGTACCCTTATTCTAACCTCTCTACTGGACAACCTAGTTGTTGGAGACACCCAACATGTTTTGCCAGTTGAGAATTTCCCAGAGAGGCCCGGTCTCCTTTTACCGCAAACAAAATAGAAACCCAGCCCTTAATTGTTTAAGTTGAGAATTCCCCGGTGGAGAGACCTGACGGTCTGAAGGCAGAAGCCGTCTAAGAAAAAAATCAGGAGTCATGTTGAACTGTTGGTTTTCCGCGCAAGCATTTTGGGTGTGTCTGCTTTTGACGGGACTCATCTTGGACTTGTTCAAAGGGAAAAGGGAAAGCACCAAGCTTGAGAGGAATAGACACCATAGATTAAAATCCACCCATGTTGACCCCTGATAAATCAACCTCCTTCAAGTCTCCCGCTAGGTCTCCCTTTCACTCGATGTTTTATGGTTTAACGCTGACCCCTTGTTAATACCCCGCCCGCACCTGTTCTGAATGTTGACCACCACGAGACAACCCAACAATTGAAGCTTAGTAAAGTTTGCTTTAAGGCTGTCTTTCAGAAAAAAATAATAAAGAATAAAACAACATGATCCCCCCTGAGAAAGGGCTTCCATCAAAGATCCCAAAACAATTAAGCCATGCTTGCTTGTGCTTAGCTGAGATTGCAACCCTTAACCAGCCAATTGCTGATTCAGCACATGAGCTCTCAAAATGTTTGGGCCCCAAAATCCATGGCTGATTTCCAAAATCAGTTTCTCTTTGAAACCAGAAGCCCAGAAGTTCCCAAACCAAAAGGGACCACACCAAAACCAGGCACAGAGCTGTTCGCGTGGAGGTCGGAAGTGTAGAGAGTTTGTCTCTGGTTTTTGTGTATGAAATTTGGAAGTGTCCATCCCCCAAGTTGACCGTAGACTGCACATGATGCAATGTTGGAGCTATCCCCCCCTAGCCATGTTTGAGGGGTTCCTTTTGATAATTCCAATGCCGTATCAGAAAAAGCACGCCCCTCCGACCGACGACCAGGAAGCTCCAAGATTCCTTCACCGGACCGCTGCGGGATGCCAGCGGGAAGTTGGTGGTACCGCCCAGCACCGGCAGCTCCAACAACCTCTTCTTCCGCTGGGAAGGCCGGCCGGGCGGCAAGGGGAGCGAGCGAGAGCCCTCCCTTAGTTCATGGAGTTTCGTCACTTTCTGCTTGCCTCGGGTTTACATGGTTGTTGTTGGGAAACATTTTACATTTTGCTCATTGTGGTTTAATAGGAACCCCCCACTTAACTGCTAGAACTGATTTTTTGTTGCTCCCCTTTCCAACGTCAACCAGGATTAGTGGGGTTTTCTGTTTAAGCCGCTAACAGTTAAACTTTTCGCAGGGGACTGAGGACAGCCCAGTTATAAGAAAGAAGATCACGTGAGCATCGGTCTGTGGTCCATTCGGTTTATGGCTTCGGCACACGGACGTACTCAACGTTAAGCACAAATCAGGGGACTGTCCAGCTAGTTTGGTGCTTCCTTGACCCACTTTGCCTTTTTTCAGGAAGTTCATGCTGGTGGTAACAATAGCGCAGACTTGTTCCGATCCATTCACTTAGGAACTAAGTGCACTAGCGGATGTTTCGAAGCACCCATTTGTCCAGAAAACGGATTGGATGCGTTTTCTGTGGATTTCCAACATTGTTTTGCCAGCTGTTCCCTTGTGTGGTCCTCTTTAGTACTCTTCTGCTATCCTGCAGGAGTGGATCGACAAAATCGCATCCGAGCCGTTTCCTAGAATTTGGGCACAACGTTATTTCATATCTACTCCTGAGGGGAATCGCTGGTGGGCCAATATCAATTTTGTTCAGCAAATGGTCCATGTAATCGTTCTGTCTGTTTGTTCTGAGGGAGGGGTGCCTTTCCTCTAAATGGCCCATACTCGTAGTGTGATGATTTGTCTTCGGGAAACGGAGGGGTAGTTTTTTCAGCTTTTGTTTTCCGCTTTTGGCTTCTTGGCTTTTCGGCTTTTTGGCTTCTTGGCTTTTTGGCTTCTCGGCTTCTTGGCTTTTCGGCTTCTTGTTGGTTAATGCGGCTTTTGGTGGCTTTTTGGCTTTCGCGAGAAAATGCTGTAAAATACAACATTTTACTGGCCCGGACGAAAAACGAGAAAAGCACAACAAATCCAGGACAAAACACAAAAATACTTCGCTTCGAGCAATCCCCACCCTCTACACTCACGAGCTTACGACCGGGAACACGGTTGTGTGAATTCAAGCATGGTTTTCGAGTGGCTTGGAGCCTATGACTGCTCAACAAGCTTTGCATTGAGAGCCTTATCCACCTGCCTGTGTGTCAAACTCCACGTGTTTGCGAGCCGATCTCGAGAACTCAAACATCGGTTCCGTTAACAGACCGTTAACAAAAGCCAAGCCCCTTCCAAAAAAGAAACCCGACGGGGGATTAAACGAACTTGCTTATTCACAACCCAAACCAACACAAAAGCATCACCCTTTCCGAGCCTCAGGGTACACTCAAAACACGAAGGCGCCAACGTGAAATTTAAACCCAACTGTGCGCCGGGCGGGACATTAAGCAAAACCAGACTGGCGAGCTGCTCTGGCGGGATACTGGCGGGATCCACTGGCGAATACTGGCGAGCCGCTCCGGCTCGATACTGGCCGGATACTCGGCAGGATCCTCGGCGGGATCCACTGGCGAGCTACTCTGGCGGGATGCTCGGCGGGATCCACTGGCGGGCTGCTCTGGTGGGATACTCGGCGGGATCCACTGGCGAGCTACTCTGGCGGGACATACCCCGAGCTACTCTGGGCTACTCAGCGGGATACTCGACGGGATCCACTGGGGCTGCTCTGGTGGGACACTCGGCGGGAACCACTGGCGAGCTACTCTGGCGGGATGCTCGGCGGGATCCACTGGCGGGCTGCTCTGGTGGGATACTCGGCGGGATCCACTGGCGAGCTACTCTGGCGGGATAATTGGCAGGATGCACTGACGAGCAGCTCTGGCGGGATACTGGGCGGGATCCGCTGGCCAGTTGCTCTGGCGGGATACTCGGCAGGATCCACTGGCAAGCTGCTCTGGCGGGATACTGCGTGGGGGCGTCGCAAACGCGGATTCCAAAATAAAATCTAACAACCCCTTCCTGTCGGGTGGGGAATAAATCCGCGCCCTCGGGCAACCAAAGGGGATACATGTTATCCTTTCAAGTAAACGACGACCCAGACACACATTATGTTGTTGGAACAGGCTTTTCGGTGTTGTAGT